AAGAGCACAATGGCTGTTAATATTAGTGGCCATCATTATTGAATACTTCTGTGTACCAAGAGCAATGCCAAGACCCTTTGTAAATGCTGTCACATTTCAGCCTCACAACTCTGAGAACAAGGTAGTATAACATGAATTCAAAAGAATGCATGTGTATACATGTGCACATACACACATATCTATAACAATTGAGTTACAAGTTCAGTCCCTACAAAAAAAAAAACAAATGGCATACTTAAAGAATTTTGAAGAGAATGTTTAATAAATGGAATGTTTTTAGAGGTGTGGGCAGGTTACAGACAACCAACAAGGGACAGTGAGACACCCAGGGACTAGCAGAAATGGAAGCCAATACCACCCCTAGATGGAATAATGGCAGGCAACAGCATTAACAGAACCCAGCTGAGAGCTGGAACCATGGAAGAGGGGCCACCAGCAGAAGCTATGGCTGTAGAAGGATGCAGCTGTCGTCAGAACCATGAAAAAGCAGGAAGGGAGCCAAAGGAATAAATACTCCAACCTCTCTGTGCTCTTGCCCTCCAATCTCCTCTAAGTGTATCCCATTGGCCAAACCCAACAAAAATGAGATCTTGGGTCATGAAGGTCAGTCCTCTAGAGCATAGAGCAAGACAGACAATGGTGGGGCATAGGTCTGGGTCACACCAAGGTTACACAGCTAGAATGCGGGTGGGTCAGGAGTCAAACTCAGATTTGCCTGAATCCAAAAACCATGCTTTATCCACTGTTTTTATGTATTCCTTTCCCATATGCATTGTAGGTGCTTAGCAAATATTTATTTAATGAATGAAATCCCAGGTGAAAGTTGAAGAAACTGAGATTAGGAGGCTATGTGTCTTGACTTTGGAACCAGAGCCCTGGTTACCCTGGAACCACCTCCTGGTCTGTAACTCACTGCCTGTCCATTCAACCAAATGTCATTCCCTCCTTGGATGTAAAAGGCAATCTGCAGCAATGGGTTTCTTGCTCAGTAAATCTTTTTTGTAATGATTCTTATGTTGAAACACTCAGGACTTAGTGTCACATTGCAGACTTACAATACTTACTAGATCCAGTGTTTCTAACACTTGGGATGGACAAGGACACCTTTGAGCCCTTCTTCTCTTTTAGGATTCCCACCCATACTTTCAAATACCTATCCCCTATGACAGTAAATGTTGTATCTGCTACAATGGAGTAAGAAGAGAATAAGGCATGAATGTTTGTTTTAATCCTGAGATACTTGCTGTCTATTAATAAAATTGACTTAAAATACAGGCACTAGAAGTATATTATCAATGAAAAAGACAAATTGCCACTGTGTTGATTAGCATCCCATCAGGAGAAAAGAAATAGCTCTAGGTGTGTCATATGGAGGGCATTTAAACAGGGAATGTGTTATAATGTATGAAATGTAAGAAAGAGCAAAAGAAGCAATTTGGCCATAAGCCCTACATTATCATTCATAATTACATCCCCAGTGCCTAGCACAGTACCTGGCATGTAAGAAGGGTTCAATAAATATGTATTGCATCTATGATTATACTTGTGAAATTTGGTCTGTCAACCTAAGAAGGCCACCAGTTCTGTTGGAAAGCATAGGATACCCGTATGACTGATAATTCAGTGGATGTGGATATGTGGTTTGGCTTTTGGTAGGAAATCATGTTCAAAGCCTTCTGTTCAAAACCTGTCAGTGGAGAATATTTATTGAGCACCTACTAGGCTCTAGGTACTATTCTAAGCACTTTGCAGTATTAACCTTCATAATAATCCTATGATAATAGGTTCATTATTTTCCATTTTACAGATGAGAATGAAACTGAGGCAAAGAGTTTTTAAGTAACATGTCTAAGATTGTGTAACAAGGAAGAGTAGAGCCAAGCCTTCACCCACACAGTCTGGCTCCAGAACCTGGGCTCTTAATTTCCACACCATATATTTCTCTATTGCTCATGTGATGAAAGCTTAACCCACCATTATACTTTTGTTCCCCATTTTCCCCACTCTTCCCTGGGGCAGAAACCAGCTAACTGTTTCCCGAGTCTCTTGTTTCCTCATTTTTCTGGGCCCACAGCAGACATTCCTCATGGTTCCTGTAGCTGTGTGACAGAATTCTAGCCAGAGGAATGTGAACAGAGGCAATATGCATCCCTTCCAGGCCTGACTCATTACACCTTTCACACGTGGTGCTGTATGTTTCTTTCAGCTTGAGGACGGTGAGCATGGTGAACTTGGATGTCACAAGTTGAAGAGTTGGAGCCACAAAACAGAAGAAGGCTGGATCCCTGGATGTTGCTTTGAGAAGAGTTAAGAACCAATCAGGAACATCTCCGTTAGACTTTAAGCGAACAAGAAATCAGCTTTTATCAGCTTTCTGCCATTATACACACTGGAGTTGTTTTATTATGGTAGATAGTGAGTTACCGTAACTAATACATATCGGAATTGAGCTGATCTACCTATTGTCCCTTGAACATGCCTCTGGCTTTTGAATTTCATTCTCTCCTTCAATTATTCACATCCCAAAAATTATTCACCCTAAACCAAGTCCAATTACCTTCAAGCAGCTTTCTCTCACTCCCATCAGCCACAGTGATATCTCTTTCCCTCAGTTTCCTGCAGCACTATGCTATCTATACCTCTCATGTGCACTTATCATAGCTCCAATTCTGGATGTCTTGTTTTCCTAGTGAGATTGCAAGCTCTTCAAGGTCAAGGATCGCGTCTTTATACTTCTTTTGTGACTCTGAAGTACATAACCTGGTATTGTGCCTTGGGAATTTTCAATAAATATTCATGGGGAAAATGGACTTATCAATGTATTAAGTTCAATAAAGTCTACTTTCCTAAAAACAGTCCTTCATGGCAGAAGCATAAAGGCATGTAAACTATAATTTACTGGATTTGGAGTTTTTATTAGTCTTTTTGCCAATATACACATTCTAACACATTTTGACAACTGCTTAGAGGAGACAGAAGGCATGCTTATCAAATTTCAGATGGCACAAACTAGAAGTAATAAATAATGCACAAGATGACAGAATCAAAACTAGACAAGTTGGAATGAAGCAGATAACATTTAATAGGGATAACTACAAAATTAGATTTTAAAAAGCTAGCTACCCAATTTCAATATGGCAAAGCCATGGCTAACAATTTATAGGGGAAAACGTTCAGGTTTTAATTGGTTGCTAAGCTGACATGAGCTTAGAGTGGTACATAGGGCCCTGCTCATAGTTAGGCTTAGGACACTGAGTGGCAGGCAAAGTATTCAGGTTCCAATATGGCATAGGCATGAATGAAGGCTGCTAGGTGGTGTCCAACTGGAGGTGGATAGAACCTCAGTGTCTGGTGAAGCCAACGGTAAAGGCAGGAACAAAGTCCAATGTTTTATTTAACCTGGGGGTTAAATAAGTACTGTACAATAATAATAAATAATAATAAAAATAATTATTATATTTAACTTGGGCAAGCTAAGCACATGGATCGACTTTCACCTGCACATGGTGGGAATCTGCCACATAAGGACACCATTAAATTATTTCTGATACTAAACTCATGCTAATAGGGCAGCTTGGGTCCCCCAAGAGTTTTGCTTTAGAAGTAGAACCTAATAGATCTTAAAGATTTGTTTCTTTACTTTTGGTCCCACTTCCCAGTGTCAGGGTCAGAACTATCCTTCACTTAAGACCCCTCATCTTTGTGGCTGAGAAATGCCATGTCACTTGTAAATTCAAGTCACCCTGGTGGGGGGGAAGGGGAGAGAAGGCAGATCACATCTTCTCTGGGCTCAGGTGGGACAACCATTTTAGGATGCTCAGATAGAGATCCTCCTAGAAATCCACATTTCCTAAAATCCGGCATCAGAGTTCTGGCAAGAAGGCTGTAGCCTGGGCCTTGGCACTAGACCACTAAAAAAGTGAATACAGGCTTAGGCAAGTGTTAATTAGAAGCCTAGCATCTGGAACAAGGGTGCTGCTGTAGTCTGTGCTGGTCAGATCACACAGGAAGAATTGTTTCTTCTCCGGATATCATGATTTAAAAAGGATACAGGCAAATTGGAGTGTATCAAAAGGAAGCTGACCAGAATGTTGAAGGGACTTAGAAACCAACACTAGTTACTTTTTGGTGGTTCAGGCTCCAGGACTGCAGGGGATCAGGATCGGGGGTGGGAGGGTCGTGTCAGGCAGCATAGATATGAGAACTGTTTTCAGTTACGTGAATGCTGTTTTGTGAAAGAAAACGAGCACTTTAGGTAACGCTAGAAAACAGAACTGGGACCAGTGGGATTTAAGTTCAAATGAAGGAGAATTTTTTAACCATTAAAACTCTTCAAAAGTAGATGAGACTTTGTAAGTAAGAGAGTTTTAAAATGTTCAAGACAGGCCGGGAGCAGTGGCTCACACCTGTAATCCTAGCACCCTGGGAGGCCGAGTCAGGAGGACTGCTTGAGCTCAGGAGTTCCAGACAAGCCCCAACAAGAGCGAGATCCCGTCTCTACTAAAAATAGAAAAAATTAGCTGGGCATGGTAGTGGGCGCCTGTAGTCCGGCTACTCGGGAGGCTGAGGCAGGAGGATCACTTGAGCCCAGGAGTTTGAGGTTGCTGTGAGCTAGGCTGACGCCACGGCACTCGCCCGGACTACAGAGTGAGGCTCTGTCTCAAAAAAAAAAAAAAAAAAAAAGTTCAAGACAAGATCAAGAAGTCCTCTAGTTGCTCTGTCCAGATCAATGCCGGCTCTACAAGTCCGCGTTGGGAGCGATGTGAGGTGTGCACCTGCGGCAGCAGAATACAGGTACCATCATGTCTCCGTACGGGTGACTTTTCGCCGAGGTTGCCTCACCTGCGCACACCTCTCGCCCTCACAGCTTCCTCGGCCGCCTCCCCCAGCCCCACTCTGAGCGCGGTGCTGGCAGCTGCAACTCAGCAAACCCCGCGAGCGCCGGAGTGGGCGCGCGGGCTGCGCGGGCCGGCGCCGGAGCTCTGGGCATGCTCAGTGGCGCGGGCAGGGCTCCGGGCGCGAGCCGGGCTGCGCCTGCACCGCATTCACCGCTGCCAAGTGGAGCCGCCGGGCGCTCGCAGGCTCGGCGCGCTCTGCCCCAAGGGAGGAACCCTCCGCCCGCCGCCGCCGCTCCTCCACCCTAAACCTCCGGGAGCCATGGCCGGGCTCTGCCAGGCCGCCGCCTTCGGCCGGGCCACCCACGCCGTGGTGCGGGCGCTGCCCGAGTCCCTCGCCCAGCAAGCTCTGAGGAGCACCAAGGGCGAGGAGGTGGACTTCGCCCGGGCGGAGCGGCAGCACCAGCTCTACGTGGGCGTGCTGGGCAGCAAGCTGGGGCTGCAGGTAGTGGAGCTGCCGGCAGACGAGAGCCTTCCGGACTGCGTGTTCGTGGAGGACGTGGCCGTGGTGTGTGAGGAGACGGCCCTCATCACCCGACCCGGGGCGTCCAGCCGGAGGAAGGAGGTAACTGCCCGCCGGGCGACGCGAGGGGCGCGGCCGGGGGCGCGCGCCCGGCCCTCCCCCGCTGCCGGTAGCCGCCTTGCCTGGGAAATCGCGGAATTGGCCCCCGGGCTAGTTCCCAACTTCCCATTGCGGGCGAGCGTGTGTGTGTCAGAGAGAGAGAAGTTCATTGTTCACACCTTCCGGCTGCCCGGAGCCTTGCAGACGAGCCGGTTGAGTGTGGTCGTGCGGACTCGGGCAGGTGGGTGGGCTGGGGAATCCATCTCACAGCATTTTTATTTGTAAAAATTAAACGGCAGCAAAGACAATGCAACTCTGAATCTCCCAGGGAGCGGGGGCACGTCGGGGTGCCGCTCCAGGCGGGCAGGTGGAAGCTGGGTGTCCCTCCAGGTGCCAGCGCCAGTCATGACACTGAAGCCCTTAGGTGCTTCCTGGCGATTGGAGCAGGCAGGCCAGATAAATGAACCGGGTGCCGGTCCCCATAGACCTGGTGCGTCCCGAGTTACTTTTCATTGGTGGCGAGTGAGTCCCGAAGAATGGGACTAGTAAGTGAATGAATGGAAGGAAAGTGTTTTGCTGGTGAGCTGTGCTAAGTCTGTGCATGAATGGACTAGGTTTGAAAAGCTTTACTCTCTGTGGGGTGTTGGGTGTGTGTACCAGCGAGCATGTTTAACTGGAAATTCTGGTTCCACAAATTCCGTAATTTTTATTCTTTGTATTTTTTAACTCATAGCAATTAAGAGGGCTTTTCGTGTTCTCAAGGGATAGTGACTACTTTAAAATATTGCAGCTTGTGAAAATGGCTGTGATTGCTTTAAACACAATGTAGGTTAGTGGGGAGAGACAAATAGAGTGAGATTGGACATTAAAATGCCATCTGGCCTGGGATTCTTCTCATTGCTAGTAAGGAGCCCAGGCTCAAGACTTTCCGTTGCTAGTGGCATCCAGTGGCATTGCAAGAAGCTAGTGGTTTCTTTCATATCTGGAGGTTTAGGAATTTTTTTATTTTGTGTTTATTCACTTCATTGGAAATGCCTCATAGAGCTTTTGATGAAAATATGCTTATTCTACACATGCCCCACCACTCAGTTAATGGAATCCTACATGGTCAGAGAGAATAAGTATATTCCTTGTGTTTCTCGCTGAGATAATCAGCTTTTTTCACTCTCCATTAGCAGAAAACTCAAAGAGTAACAGGTCTCATTCTCTCAGCCCTTTGCTCTCCTTCGCCACACCTCTCCATTTTTGAGTCCGTGAGATCCCCACTCTTTTAAACTGATAAGGATTGTAACCCCATTTGAATGCTTTTGAATGTGTTCTAGGCCATATGGCAGAGCTGCGGTTTGTACTTAAAAGAGTAAAATAGGTTTCAGATACCCTTTCAGATGGTACTCATTTGATAGAGGTAGTCAGATTTCCTCTCAAGAGACTGTTGCCATATTTATTTGTCCATTTCACTTTATTCCTACAATGAAACCTTCCAAATTTTGGCCTTCCTGATGCCTAAGTGAGCAGTGATCTTTCTCCCCTGCCTAGATTTTGAGTTATACATTTTAAATTGGCTTCATTCTGATAACAGCCTGGTGGCCCACTGCCAGAGGTCACATAGTGTAGTGGATAAGAACATTAGTCCGGATCTCAGCTCTACCACTTCCTAATTCTGCGACTTTTGGGGAACTGTCTTTTGCCTCAGTTTTCTCATCTATAAGATGGGCATAATAATACCTATATCACAAAGTTATTGTAATAAATTTATTAATCTACCTCAAATCCATAGGACAAGACATTTAATGAATATTGACTCTTATTATTCACTTAGGAATGGATCGTGGAAGATTTACCCCTTTAATAAGAAGTCATCGCTACACTGATGTAGTCACATTTCCCTTTCCTGGGGTGAAGGGGAGTCATCTTCAAGCCTTACGTTATATCCTATATGTGTTCTGTGAGTCTGTCTCTCAGCTTGGGTCTCCTGCTGGTGTGTGATCTCTCCCAAAAGCACCTTTGCCATTTTTTTTTTTTTTTTTTTTACCTGATCTGGGTCACCAGGATAACAGACCTAGGCAGGTAAAGAAATCGGGCAGTCTGTGTTGGATGGGGTGCTTCTGTAGAGCAGGGCCAGGCAGGGCAATGCTCTTTGACATTTCTCACAGCACCAGCTTGCTGCCTTGGTAGGTGCTAATGCTTGTTGAGTGAATGAATGAATGAATGAATGAATGAAATGCTAATACAGACAAGCTGGCAGTTACTTCAAGGTCTGCTTTGAATTGGTATATATTTTTTTCATGTGATACCTGCCTTCCTAACTGAAAACCCACAGCAGCCAAGGAATTATTTTAAAATTATCACCACCGATCTTGTCTCCAGTCTCCTCATTGTCCATTCTATTTCCACAATGTAGCCAGGCTGATCTCTTAAAAGCTCAAAGCTGATCCTGTCTCTCCTTTGACTAAAATTCTTGAAGAGCCCCCATTGTGCTTAGATAAACCCATTGAGCTGGTCTCTGCTTGCCTTTCCAGCTTCAGCTTCATCTCTGACCCGACCCTAAGCACCCCCAACCCTTGGCTCAAGCTAGGTTCTTTCACTCAAGCTGACCTTACTACTGCTTTTCTAGTTATACATTTTTCCTTTGTCTGGGACACTCATCCTCCTCCTTCTCCTCCCTTTTACTTGGCTGTTCCTACTCATGCTTCAATTCTCAGCTTACTGTTATCATTAATATTGTTGCCGCCCAACCAGGTTCGTTTGCCCACTGCCCAAGAGGAAGTCAATATGCTGAGACAGCAGGTTTTACAACAGAGAAAGAGTTTATTCCGCATGGTACTAAGCAGGGAGATGGGAGAAACTTCTCAAATCCGCCTCTCCGAGAATTTGGGAAACAGGGTTTTTAAAGACAATTTGTCATAGGCAATTGAGTCTGCTAATTGGCTGTGTTTGGGCAGAACCGTAGAGTTGTAGAAATTGTCTTCTTTGCTGACCAGGTTCTTGGGTGGGAGTCACAAGACCAGTTGAGTCACTTTCTCCATGTGGGCCACTGGAATGCAGGACCTGGAAGATATCTCAAAAACTACCCTTAGGTTTCAAAAAGGTGATGTTATCTGTGGAGAAAGCTAAGCATCTTTATGACCGCCAGCTATGTGCCTCCAGAGTGGCAATGACAGAGAAGCAAACAGGAGATAGTGGCTCATTATTATTATTTTTAGCTAGACCTGTGCCTTATTTTTAGCTAGGCCCTTACCACAGTTCTTGCCTTGTACCCCTTTATCAATTTGTAAAGGTGGTTTCAACATTATTAGCTAATATTTATTGGGCGCTTGCCATTGGCCACACACTGTGCCAAATTTATGACATGCATTTCATTAATGTTCACATCAACTCTTTGAGCTCAAAACTATCATTATTCTTATTTTAAAGTTGATGAAACAGGTTTTGAGAGATTAAATAAATTGACCAAAATTATAGAGTAGAACCAGTAAAACTAGGTTTTGAACTGAGGTTTGGAGGACTCCAGAGCTCTCGTCCCCCCCACTGTGATATTAGACATCACCTTCCCAAGCATGGAATTGTTTTTTCTTTATAAGCTCCTAAAACCCTGTATAGTTTCTTTTATATTTATCATACCATGTAATTGCCTGTTTACCGTTCTGTATCTGCCATTATTATGTAAACTGTCAGGACAGAGATCATGTCTTCAATGTTCAACAGTTTATCCCCAGGGCCTTGCACACAGTAGGCATGCAGCAAATATTTTGTTGAGTAAATGTCTCCACGATTTCAGGTCAACCTTAGATCTCCCTCCTTATGACGTATTTGGTGTTTTGCAAGCATTCCCAATCAGTAGAGTCCCAGAAGTTTTTATTTTGAATATAGGTGGTTTATAACTGTTTCTCTCTTCCTCTTCCTTTCCCTATTCCTGTCTTTGTCTCTTATTGTTGTTGTTGCTTTTGTTTGTTTGTTTTTGTAAAAATCCCAAGAAGTTCCTTCTTAATCAAAACATCATGCTATATTGAATGACTGTTCTTCGTTGGAATTCAAGAAAGTATTCCTGTGAAGGCTCAGTGTTTGCTTCAATGTGGCCTTGAAAGATGACTAAAACACAGGCCCTGTGTGCAGGAAGCTTAAGTTTTAGTGAAAGAAATTGTGTATACAGAAAGTCAGGAAATAATGTTGGTTGTCTAATAACTCTGTGTCTTCAGAACTATGAGTAATTTTGATATATTTAATACTTTGAAGACAAATCAGCCTTGAGAAGTCTATCATATTTTAAATGAATCCAACTTACTTTTTAGGGAAAAAAAGTCAACTGCTAAATGTCTAAGTAGTGTAAACAAATTATCTAAAAGCTGAAGTAGGGTAAGTGACAGGGTGTGAGGATTGAGTTTCCTAGATTTTGAGTTATACATTTTAAATTGGCCTCATTCTGATAACAGCCTGGTGGCCCACTGCCAGAGGTCACATAGTGTAGTGGATAAGAACATTAGTCCGGATCTCAGCTCTACCACTTCCTAAT